CACACACACACACACACACACACACACAGACACACACGCACCCACACACACACACGCAGACACACACACACACACACACACACACATGCTTGTCACTGAGCTAATATCTGATGAAAACGACCTTCATCATCTCTTTTTCCAGCCTGAAAAAAATGATTGTCCTTGAAGAAGCTGGAGTGTAATTAGGCCATATATTTATATATCCATATAGATAGATAGATATAAATGCTGTGCTCCTACTGTCACAATGCATAAATATGTACATGTACCGTGTATTCACCAAAATACTGGTGTGTGCTGCCCGACTGTGTACAACTTGTATTCCACTGTTTACATAACAGACTGGGTCAGATATCATAGGACACATCCTGTCAAAAAGCCTCCCTGGTTGTCAGAGGCAGCTTCAGGCTCTCCAGCTCGTGCTGTAAATTTGTCATCTAACATATAGTGCAACATAAATAACTTCCCTCACAGAGCCATACATGTCATCGTTCTGCAGTCTTCAGATTCTCTGCTCATGCAATGTAGCGTGATAGATGCACACTGAGAGGCTTTAACATAGCTTAGCATTTACGTTAAATTTCAAAATGAATCATGTAAATACTAATTTCATTTTATTGCAGAAACACTGATGTTTACTCCCCTAACAGGTTTTCTCTGTTGTTACTGGAATTGCAACCTCTGCTGCTGTTGCAACTTGTGGCAGCTCTGTGGCGTACACAAAGCATTGTGGGTATTTCTTAAGTCATTTTATCTGAAAACTGGTAACAGGGCAGGAAGTAACATGTGAACGAGTAACTGACTTCTCTTCACTACAGTGTTTTACATGTTTTTACAGTACACATGCATTGGGTCTGTTTTCATTAAGGCCAAGCTCTGTGAGTTTTTGATTTTTATTTCACGGTCAGCGTTCTTCACGGACTGATAACGTTGGACTGAAAGTGTTTCTCTTCATTACATGACATTGTGCAATGTGTATGCATGTAAATTATTTCGGTGAACTATATGCTGCTCTCGAATCTGATAACCACAGACTGTTTTCCTCCACGAACGTTTCTGTTTGGCCGATTTATGTAATCTTTAATTGACAGAATCTGAGATCGAACTTGCTGCATAATGTTGCGATGCCGACATTACGCTCTAGGTTGTCAGCACATGTCATCAGTGTTGAGACTGTAAAGCAGAATCTTTTTAACGTCCTCTAGCATCGTCTGTGACCTGATCAGCAAGATGAGGGCCTCTGGATACAGGGGGAGAGACAGGCAGTGGCACTAGGACCTGGAGGAGCCGTTTACAGCTGTGGCAGCAGTGTCATTTCTGTCCGGGTCATCATTAGTATCCCTGTCACAGGGGCGTATGGCCCCGGAGGCCTCGGACACCAAACCTCTGCAGGACTGTAATTTCAACATTAAACACAGAAGAGATGAAGAGACTGTGATCAACACTGTGTCTGGAATCACTGTGTCAACAGAATGCAGCCATGCAGAGCTGTTGGTTTGAGATTAAAGAATATTCAGCATTAGGATGTAGACGACTTTTCTTTATCGCGTCCCCTAAAGAGATAAGACATGAAATATGAATTTGTCTGAGTCAGTTATCTGTGTTGTCAAACGCCTCCATCAGAGGAGCCAAGAAGGTTGGCTACAGTCTTCTGTTTGGGTTAAAATACATCCTCCCTGGCTCTCTCGGCTCTCACCCCTCAGGAGGGTGCATGTAAACACCATGACACATTTGTTATTATCAAATCCTTCCACTCTGTCCTCTGTGGACGTGAGAGGAATAAGAAGTGGTAGTAGGCTTTGACTGTTCCCGGAAAGGCTAATTTTTGGCTCTTGCTCAGCCAAATATAAAAAAACCTGATTTTTTTTTTGTCTAAATGACTTCACTTTGCTTAGGTTCAGCATGCAGAAAAAAATGTGTTATCACCCTCACAAAATCCTTCACACTGTACCTCCCTGTTCACAGCTATTGTTGTGCATTATCTTATACATGAACCAAGATGCTCTCATGTTCACAGCCTATTGTATTCTCATGTTTCTTCCATGTTACTGAGCAGAGGCAGCATATTATGCCGCTGATCATGGTCCACGTCTGGCTGTTGTGATGGAGGCCGGTGACGCCATCGATAGTGACTGTGAGGTGGTTGGCTGGAGGAAACAATTCACTGCATGTCGGAGGAGGAGTGTCACCTCAGAGCGTAGGGGGAATAAGAGAGGGAAGGAGAGGAGAAGATTTGAGGTCAGCTTAACGTGAAAGGAAAAATGCAGGAGAGGGGAAAACTGCACTGGAGGAGGGATGAGCGATTCAATTGCCGTGCAGTGGAGGTGTGTTTGATGGAACAACAGAGTCTGGGAGAAGATGGGGAGAGAGAGAGGATTATAGAAATGGGACGATGTGAGAGAGAGACAGAGGAGACGGATTAAAGCTTGGAAAAATAGATAGTGCCAGAGGGAAGTGTGAGAGGATCAATTTAGCGACGTTCTGCGGAGAGACAGTGTCTGAATGGACTGTTTCGCTCAGCTCCCTCTCAGCTCATTTTGCAACAACACAATCCCATGTGTGGTCGAACCCAGTCCACTCACACACATACACACACACACATATAACACTAAATGCTATATATATATAGACCACAGGAACACATAATGCCCAGCCAGGGTATTGGTGGGCTGAAACACGAGTATGTTTCTTGACACGGTGGCAGCTATCGTCTCCGCATGAACGTCATGGCCTCTGTCTCTTCAAGGTCATGTGGAATAATTGTGAGAGAGCTCTGTTGTTTCTGTGTCCCTAACGTGTTAACCCTGTCTCCTCACCCACTAAATATATGTCCATATTGTACATGACATGATTTCAGCTACAGAATATGATAAAGATTGGTTAAGGATATGACTGTGCACAAGGTTAGTTTAACTCTCACTCAAACAAAATATAAGACATTGACATTTATGGTCGTCGCCCACATATTAGACATCGTCCGCCACTGACTGACTAAATCGATGGGTCAGGCTGCCACAGTTTTGTGCCAAAAAATGTGCTCCTTGGATCAGACAATTCCACAAGCAACATAGATCCTGATATGTGGCAGTTTGTTCATTTTGGAGATTTAGCATTTGAGAAATCTTCATTTGTTACCAACTGCAGCCGCATAGAGTCCGATCGAGTCCTGTCTGTGGACTTGTCAATGCAATGACATCAAGTCTGTAGTTGAGATTAGCTACATATTAGAGCCCAACAAATACTGATTTGGGGGATTTATGTTGATACTGATATCAGGGAGTAGGAAATGTCAAATTCCGATATATGGCCCAACTGAGGATTGATATTTTACATTTTAACTAAGCACTTTGTCATAAATAACTATAAATAAAAAGAAAACACAAATAAAACAAAATACTCAGGACTTGAATTCAGAAAATAAACATAAATGCACATCTTTTCTGCATTGTTAAATCTCTAAGATAAAATTTGTCATATCAGCATAAACGTGACATAACAAACGCTGATACGGAGGTTTGTCAAAGGCTCATAGAAAAGTTTGAATCTACTTTTCATCCAGTCACTGAAGCAGTTGCCTCTGATGTAAAGCGCTTTACGCATTTTGCTTTTCAAAATCCTCAGCTTGATCTCTGTTGTGTTATCAGTCGGTCGTAGGGGAAAGGAAAGTTGATATTTATTCACACAGTAGTTAAATGGATATTGAATCAGTCGGTTAATATTCCTCCTCTATCCTCGCTGCTGTCGCTCTGATCTCTGCAGCTCCCTCTCTCTCTCTCTGTTGTTGTTTATTCTGTGTGTTGCTGCTCTGGACTGTGCAGTGGTTACTCATGTCAGTGTATGGCAGGTGCTCTGAGCTGATATGAACTGACTGAGCATCTCCCTGGTAACTGGAGGACGGCTCAGGCGGAACTAGAAGAGATGATCAACGTTGTCCAGGCCCCCCCCCCCACCACCAAAGCTCCATTTGAAAGCTGTATGAGTTGAGGACAGGCTCGTCCTCCTCTCTCAGTTGTTTGTATGTTGTGTCTTTTTTCCCCCAAACGTCTTCTCCTGTCAGTGCAAGCAGCTGCGCTCAAGGCCGAGAGAAGACAGGTTAATTGAATAGTCACGATGGTGGGAGCCTGACTCGCTGGGTTTTTCTGCTGGGTCGCTCGGATCTCACGACAGTCCGACACTCATCAGCTCTGTTGACTCGTCATTTTGTGACAGAGGCTGCATGTTTTGCAGTTTCAGTGGTAGAAATCCTCACTGTGCCTTTTTTAAACTTGTTTTCTTTAGAGACTGTGCTTTAGTTATAATTGTTAGATTAATCCTTACATGCTTCACTAGATGTTGTGCATGAGTTAAAGATCCTAAAAAACTAACAACCATTCCAACATTTCTTTTCCTTTTTCACAGAAATCTTTAAAAAATGGACCAAGATAATCAGAGCAAATGTCCGACTCAAGAAGAAAACACAACGGTGGGAGCAGAAGCTTCAACAGCTCTGGCATCAACTCCAGCTCCGGCATCGACTCCAGCTCCGGCATTGACTCCAGCGGCTCCACCCTCAGTTCTGCCTACAGGCCAGCCCCCGTCCGCTGCCCGCCCTCGACGGCCCCAGAGAAGTGCCAGAGTGGAGGGCTCTGTGGACATCTCCGACCCTAAAGCTGAGCCCAAAGCTGAACCCGCTCCGGAGGCTCAACTGGACGAGAGCACTCCTGACGGCACTGTGCCCAGTCGTCCCAAACCCTCCCGCTCTGCAGCAGTCAAACCTTTAGGAGAGCGCATTAAAGCTGGCCACAAGGGTCCAGGGCACCCCCCGGTCAGGGCTGTCTCAGTCCCCCACCCACCCGTGAGCAGGCCTGTGGCTCCTCACCTGAACCCTCATGCACAGAGAGCCTTCTCTGTCGCAGGTACAGCTGACACTCAGGCCCAGACTCTGGAAGACTTCAGGCAAGTGTCCTGATGTGTGTGTGTGACGTTCATGTCTCAGCATGTCTCATTGAGCCTCTGGTTTCCAAAGAGCTGAGAAAGATTAGCCCTGGCACATGAAGCCACTGAGTGCACGACTGCACGATTACTGCAAACATGTAGCACAGTTTTTTGAGTGTCAGGATTATTTATGTTGGGTCACACGTTATTATTTAGGGTTTATAACAGACTATATTATAGCAAATACAAGTGTACTTGGTAACAAGTGTAACTACTGACCCATAAGTGGTGGCTGCTGTGTAAACATACTAGAATGGCACAAAGTCCCCTTAGATTTAAACATGCTGCCCCAAATCTTACACACTAATAGATATCAGTTTTTTATTTTAGATCCAAGAATTCTACTCTTTGAAAATGTCAATGTTAAAGAGAGTGAAAAAAAAAATCCTGGTTCTCCCCTGATCTAGATCTGCACCAAAAGAAGATTAAAACACAGTTGTACAAATAGATAATGTATTCAAACAGACATCATAAATATTGACAAATACTCTACGTTAACAGACATTTAAAAGCCCTCACAGTTATTCACAGCTACATTATAGTGTGTTATAAATTATGTATGAAATGTTTGTATACTGCTTCTAACTTTCTAGAACTTTTTTGTTGTAGGTAATAAAATAGATTAAAGACAATTTACAGTTTACAACCTAAATATCACTCATGCTTCTCTAATTATAGTATCTACTGTGAGGTGGGTCTGTTGGATGTTCAAACAAGTCAATGTGAGCATAGTGTGCTCTCCATGTTTTAGACAACATTGTTGGAATTTGCTTCGGAGCTGAATATTTACACTAAAACTTCTGCCTTGGGGCCAAAGTAGCTGACCTAGCTGTCCTATATAATCCTGCATTATTACCAGGATTTGTGCAGTAAATGTTCATTTCCTTGGGTATTTTAGAAAATTAGTACAACAATACGATGGAAAATATAATTACAATGGCTTTTTAATTTGACACTGCAATTTGACACTGCATCTTCACATTTATATGGATGATTTAGTTTTTTTATCCGATCTCGTTGGATTAGGCACATTGCTGAGCTTCCAGGTTGTTTAATACACCTTATCATACCTTCGCCAAGGCCCAACAGTTCCCTTATGACACCACATTTTAATTCACAAGATCCAGATTGTTATTTGGATCTGCACCAAATGACACACACTCATAGATATCAGTCCCTTAACCATGTCTGCTTTTATTCATCATGATGTCATGAATTATTCCATCTCACAATGTTAAAGAAAGTGAAAAAATGTTTCCTGGATCTGCCTTCTCAAGACGTTTTTACGTAATCTTTCTTACAAACAAACACACCAACAAACAAACTGACAGGAGCTAAAACCTAATCTCTTCACTGAAAACATAGAGGTCATTACATGTGTGCACACAGTTCCCTATACTACCTTTGTTTTGTATCTGTCGTTTGATTGCTGTTATGTCAATATGTCGATAGTGGCAGCTGGACACTCAATTTACAAAGCAAATTAATACAAAATTTATACAGTTTATTATAATTCATCAGGATTTTCATCTCTCTGTATATTAATATGAGGCCTGTGCTGCCTCACTAAGAGTCTGGAGGTATTGACACTGAGGTGTGAAGGAGACATTATATAACACCTTGTTCCAACAGGGTGCACATCATCACTTGGAACGTGGGTTCGGCCACGCCACCTGATGACATCACTGCCTTGCTGGGTCTGAACGTGGGTGATGGAAACACAGACATGTATATTATCGGGTGAGTGTGTTTTTGCGGTGCGGTAATCATCCAGTCTCCACAGAAAGGCTGAAGTGTCCCTTTATGCTCTCTTCCCTCACATTAACGCTGAAGACAATATCACTAATGAGCCGTCTGTGCTCGGCTTTGAATTTTTCTCCTCCCTATGGCAGCGATTCTCCTCTTATTTATCAACCCACTATTACATTATCCGAGCTCCTCTTCACATCTGTGTGTGCTGTTGACCCTTGTGCTTGTTGTGTGTCATCTTTTTCTCTTCAAGGCTGCAGGAAGTGAACTCTATGATTAACAAAAGGCTGAAAGATGTCCTCTTCACAGACCAGTGGAGCGAGGTCTGCATGGAGAGACTCAGCCCCTTTGGATATGTGCTGGTCAGTAATGGCTCTTATTATAAACACATATGCACGCACTCAGTAAAATGCTAAAACAGCTCAGACTCGCTGATGAGCTTCTCTTCTTCCTGCCGCTGTTTCGGCTCATTTTGTTTCCTGAGCAACGGATGGGGTGATCATTTATAACAGGCGTGTAATGTCACTGTATCTGCTTTCCTCTGTTGCCAAGTTTATAATGCAAAGTCAGGCAAAGCACCCACTTTAATTACCCTCTCTGTGTGGCTTCACACCCTTTTCTCCATCTTTCATATTTCACAATGCCTACACATACCCAGTGTGGAAAGGTTGTATACAAAGATATCAGAGATATACAGATTCATTTAAATACATCTTATAAATATCCCTTCAAATAAGAAATTTGAATCATGCCATAGAAAATGTTTGTTTTCTTAATAACTGCGTGGTGTAAATGGTTGACGTTCATGTGGCTGCATGTGAAAACGAAGCTTGGCTCGGTTGGCATGGTGAGCCAGAGAGCATGAATCAGCTGTCGGGCTGAGAGAGCTAGACAAATGTCTCCCAGGGTGCTGTTTTATT